ATAATACATATCATAGAACGATAAAAATGAAACCTGCTGATGTAAATAAGAAAAACGAGAATGATCTACTTTCTACTGTTTATAATTATGATATTAGTAATTCTAAGCCTAAATTTGAAATAAATGATAGAGTTAGATTATCTTCAATAAATGATGTGTATCGAAATAAATTAAAAACAAATTGGTCTAAAGAAATATTTACGGTTGAAAAAGTTATTAAATCAAATGTTGTTTATTATAAAATGTATGATATAGAAGGTACAGTTTATGAAGAAGAATTACTGTTATCTTTATTATAAAATTATGCATTTTTTCTATATTTAACACGTCCGTAATTTACGGACGTGTTAAATATCAATGTAAAATTAAAGAACGTTTTTTCTTTTGATTCATTATAAATTAGGTCAGGTACTCGGAGTATTGTAACCATATGGTATTGTATCATAATCTGGTAATATTATTCTTTTATCATAATCAAATGAGAATTTTTTTTGGTAACATTTTTATTAACTAAAGTTTTAGTAATTGTATCACGTGTTATTTGTTTGTATTCTAATTCTTTATTAATATTTTTATTTTCTTCAATTAATTTTATCATTGCTTCCCCATTAAGTTTTAATAAATTTTGATAATTTAAAGTAAAACCCTTTATAACCGTTTTAAATTTATTATCATTTGTTTTATAATAATAACTTTTAGGGCCTGTAGATGCCCAATCTGTTATATGTACATTTTCACCTAATTCATCAGTCCATTCACCCAATATTGTTCCTGTTTTAATTTTATTAACACCATTATCTATATAGAAAATAGAATCGGTATCAAAATAAACTACAGCTCTACCTAATTTATCTAACATTTTATTTATTCTTAATCTTGCACTAGATGTTGTAAATAAAGCTATTATAATATTTGTATTATGATAATTTTCAACGTAATGATTTTTATAATTATAACACATTTGTATCATATTGTCATTTAATAATTTTATATTTATATTTTCTAATCTATCATCTAATAATATTTTATAGAATTGTTGTGGGTCTGTAACAAACTCAGTTTTTTTCATTTTTTGCCACTGTCCAAATTTTCCCCATAAGCTAACTAGACATAATTTTGCTACAGCTCTTCTACCAGGATTATCACTTATTTGATTTATATCCAACAAAATACCCATTTTATCAAAAACTTCTTTTACATATTCTTCATTAGAACTATAATTATGTTTTGAACTTTCTAATTTTATTTTCATAAAATTCTTAATATACTCTTTAAATAAATCTGTTGTTTTTTCTTTAAAATTCCATACTTCATACATTTTTGTTATTATGTATCCTTTTTGTAAAGCTTTATTAACTTCATCTGTTGTCCATGTTCCTATAAATTGTCTTTCATTTGGAGAATTATTACATATTTTATTTTGATCTACAGCACATTTATAACACAAAGAAAATAATAACTTTTCACTTTTTTTCATTTTAATTTTAACTGGAAGTACAGGATGATAAAGATTTCTTGGAGGTAAAATTTTACATTTAATTAATCCAAACCAATTTTTATCATATACTTTTGGATTACATATTTTTTCAGGATGCCCAACAGGATAATAATCATAATAATTCACAGTTGGATATAAACTACATACATCAATATTACGCATTTTTTTATTTTTTACTCTTAATTTTGTCGCATTTGTTCTACCTGCAAAGAAAGCATCTCTAGGATTAATAGGGTCAGCTATATCAGCTTTTTCCATTTTTTTGTATACATTACTATTTATCCAATCACATTCCCATTGTTCAACAAGATTATAACCTGCATTTTTTATTATTTTACTTCTTTCAATTGTTTTTTGATACAAATCATCCATTGTTTCATGGTTTATGTTATTTATTATAGTTTCTCTATCTCTATAACATTTAGTACAACATTAGCCAAAAACATCCATGATATTGATAAACTGTTTTTGATTTTTCATCATAACCATTAACTTTAGATCCTGCTATTATTTTTTCACCACCATTTAAAGCGTGGTAGATATTTATGTTATTAAAATGCTTTAACCATGTTATAGAGTGCTTTGAATAATTTTCATTTTTCACTTTATCTAAAACAGCTATAGTATCGTATAACAAATATTTTGATCTATAGATAGCCATACAAACACCTGCTATAGTTGTATAGCGAAAAGGATCAATATTAGCTATTTCTAAAAATTGCTTTCTAAGTTCTAAACAACCTCTTCATTCGATATCCACATCTGAAGTACAGTATGCCTCTAATTCTCCTTTTAAATTAAATATATAATTTTCATTAATTTTATCATCATACCATTTTTCAAATTCTAGTTTATTCTCTGGTTTCATTGTTTCAAATCCATAATATTTTTTATCAGGTAATATACCAATATAATTTTGATTTTCTACTGTATTAAAGAAATGCGGAAAGTAACCTTTTTTCAGTTCTTTAAGACCAAAGTTTTGGGAAAACTACTTAGTTGACCATGAATAAAATTAGAACTATCTATTGTTCTTATACTTAAATTTTTAATTTCTAATAACATTAGTTTTGTACCATTATAAATTGTAAATGGCTTTATAGTATTATCAACCAAGTATTTTAAGATAAATTGTGAATCATTTTGCGTAATGTGCTATAAATGTATAACCCTTATAATCCTCGGATATTACATGATTACAAAATTCTTCATTAGTACCTATCAATCATAATTTTATTTCCTTCAAAATCATGAGCAATTATTTTATTTGCGATATGAGTTCCTGTTTCTTGTTGAGCTTCAAGAACCATAAAAACTTGCCATTGATGTAATAACATCAAAATGGTTACCGTTTTTATACAAATAAATTTTAGTTTCTTTTTCATCAC